TCCTCATTGTCTACCTTCTCCTTCTCCTTCCCCTCTTCTTCCTTCTCATTGTCTACCTTCTCCTTCTCCTTCCCCTCTTCTTCCTTCTCCTCATTGTCTGTCTTCCCCTTCTCTTTTCCCTCTTCTTCCTTCTCCTTCTCCTCATTGCCTATCTTCCCCTTCCCTTCTTCTTCCTTCTCCTCATTGTCTGTCTTTCCCTCCTTCTCCTTCTCTTAGAACATTATACAAACCCTGCCTATTTGATTAATTTACTGGTCAGTGTCAAGCAAGGAGCAATCGTGCAACCTGTTTCTCTGTACCCCTCTTATTGATGCTTCCTGACATCCTTTTAATCAAGCCCTGATAACTATTTTAGGACCATCCCGTGACTTGGAGAGGATGGGAGTGGGGGTGGTGGAATCTCCAAGTACTAAGGGACCCCAATCACACTGCTTACTCTCTTCTTTTCAAAACGTATCATATCCAAATCCTGCTAGCTTCACAGTATCACTGGCCTATATCCATCTCGTTTCCCCATTTTCAGCACGGCCAAATATAGACTTTCTATCTCTCATTAGTGGAGAGTTTTTTTTTTTTCCCACTTCTGTTCCATGAGCAACAAACAGCAGACAGGCTCTCTATTGACTCTGCAAAGAAGCCGTGTGAGTTTTATACAGTAGAGCAGCCATTCAATAACAAAGAAGGTTTAATAGATTTAAAAAAAGAAAAAGAAATCTTTTCCAGAAAGGGCTATTCTGAATTAAAGCTGGAGTATTTTTGGCAAAACTCTGAAAGATCCTGGAAATGAACAGCAGCCTTATGTTTAAATTTTGCATTCATGGGTCTGATTTATTTGAGGGAGGAGAGGGAATGAAAGAATTACAAGCTCTGTAAGTATGAAACAGAGGGTCTAACCGTGTTGGCCCAATCCACTATGAAGTCATTGCAAACAAAAAGGGTTGGGAGGGGGGAACGAGCTCCCAACTATGTGTAACTTGGCAGTAGAACTTTCCAAAATCCTAAAGTTTTCGAAGCCATTGATATTTGCCAGCAAGACATATGTCTTCCCTAAAGAAATTGAGTTGGGGTTGGAGACCATGGGAAACTTGCACACCGTGTCATGGTGCTACGAATGCTGATTTGACTCTCCATCTTAAGCCATGGGCAAAGTTAGTAGGGTGAACAAAAGATACTCTTTCAGGTGACAGAGAAGAACTAAGGGTGACATACAGTGGTGGGATTCAAATTTTTCTTACTACCGGTTCTGTGGGCACGGCTTGAAGGGCGTGGCTTGGTGGGCATGGCAGGGGAAGGATACTGTCATGAACTCTTGGAATAACTCTTGGAGTAGTTGCTCTAACCATTCATCTCAGCCCGATGAGACATGTGCTCTCAGCGTGAGAAAATTGAACATTCCTGGGTTGAGAAGATCACAAAGAGAAGCAGTTGAGTTGAAGATCTCCTTCCTTCAATGAGCACCGATTGAAGGACACATTCTGAAAAAGTTCAGCACCCCATGCTGAGTTTTCAAAGAGCAGCCAGCGAGAGCAGGAGGAATAAATTTAAATTAAAAAGTCATCTCTCTCTTACTTTCCAGGAGTCGTTTCCAGTGGCCTATTTCCTCAGCTTGAGTTCCATTTTTAGAACAAGCTCTTTCTTCTTTTACTTCAGGGAGGACCTGCTGTTTTCAATCTACAAGTTTTTATTTAAAATAAGAGCCGTCTGGAGCTCTTGTTTGGGGAAGGTTCCTGGAAATTGCAAGAAGAGAGAGATTATCTGAATGAGGAAGGGGGAAAATATCTGCCAGTAGAGTGTGGAATTTTAACACTCGTTTTCTTTCAGGATTGCCTCTCTCTGTGTGCATCCACACTTTATTTGTGTGTCAAAAAATAAAAACCAATCCATTCTTGTAAAATCACAATAAAAAACTTTATTTGCTGTAGGAACAAACTAGGAACTGTCTCATAAAAGAGGAAATGTTTATTTTACTAGGGCCGATTTCTGTACTGTGCCGAAGCTGGCATGGGAGGCAACTTCCTTCTTCATTTTAGGCTCAGTTTTCAGCTTTTGGACAGCCAATTCATTTATCCGCTATCATGGTCCTGATTTCAGCTGGATGTCCTGGTGATGACTTGACGTATCGCCTTCCTTCTTCCATCTCTTTTCGTTACAGTCCCCGAGCTTCTGTTGTGTTGTGTTGCAAAGTGCTGATCCTTTCCTGCAGGTCATTCCAGTGGTTGTGTGGTATTGATTTCACAGCAAATTAAATGAGTCTATATCTCATGTTAACTCTTGCAGGACGAGAAGCGGAGGCAAGCCCGAACCTCTCTGTTGCAACTGAGTGGAGTCTCTTCTGTGCAACATAAAACAGCCCTTTGTCTACAAAGAGTGCTTCGGAGGAACTGAGGATGGCCCTCTCCACGTGGGTCGTGGCCTCGGTGGCCATCTTTCTCTTCCATCAAGATGCTAGCGGTGGACTCATCAAGAGAATCATTCGGCAGAAGAGGGAAACGGGAATCAATGTGACACTGCCAGAGGATAACCAACCTGTGGTCTTCAACCACGTCTACAACATCAATGTCCCTGTGGGCTCCCTTTGCTCTGTAGACTTGGATTCTCCCAGTGGAGACTCAGACTTCAAAGTCCCGTCCGAGCCAGGCAAACACTATCAGGAGCACACACTGAATGAAGACAATCAGATTGTGTTCACGCACCGCATCAATATCCCACGACGGGCTTGTGGTTGTGCGGCGGCCCCAGATATCAAGGTGCTACTAAGCCGACTTGAAGAATTGGAAGAGCTGGTATCTTCTCTGCAGGAACAGTGTGGCAGTGGGTCAGGGTGCTGTTCCAGTCCTCAAACGGCGAAAGGTAAGTTAGGGGAACCCAGATGCAAGGTGGAATAGAATAAAAGAGAAGCACTACAATTCCCAAACAAAAAAATAAAAGTAGAATTCCCAAACAAAGAAATAGAAGAACTAGAATTCCCAAACAAAAACTGGAAGAACTAGAATTCCCAAACAAAAAAAATAAAAGAACTAGAATTCCCAAAGAAACAGAACTACTAGAATTCCCAAACAAAAACTGGAAGAATTAGAATTCCCAAACAAAGAAACAGAAGAACTAGAATTCCCAAACAAAAACTGGAAGAACTAGAATTCCCAAACAAAGAAATAGAAGAACTAGAATTCCCAAATATTTCTGCTTTGAACTTTTGTGGTAGACCACATTTTGTTCATTTCCCGTTTATATTTAAATCCCCTCCCTTCATTACTTTCAATGATGAGAAATAAATCAATAAATTTAAAAGGTATCAATAATTTTGCTTCTTGAAGGTATTCAAAACTAGGTTGCTGTGCACATACACACCCACATGTGTTTGTGTGTGTGTGTGTGTGTTCACTGCTAGATATATAGCAACAAAAGGCACCGAGGCAATCATTCTGAACTATATTATCCAAATGTAAGTGCATACAATAAAATAAATATGTTGTTTAGCTTATAACCTGAGAACTACACTTGATTATTAAAGTTTTAGAAGGGCAAACCCAACTACTACAGTGATGTGATAGAGAGAGGCATGGTGAACTTCTAAAAAGGTTAGAACAGAAGTAAAATAAATTAAATATGCTTATTACTCGATATTCTGTATTACCTATTTCTTCCCCCAAGTTCCCCAGTAAGAATTCTCAGCAGGGGAGTTTTTCCTCTTCTTTCGTATCATTATGTTCAGCTCCGCATTTCTTACCGAGATGCCAAAAGGTTTCCTTGATTTCTTGACCAAGAACCACAGAGATCTTATAGGCTATATGTGGCCTGTTGACCAATCATCTCTTATAGGTTGCCTTGTTCATCAAGGATTTGATTGTCCCCATAAGGCAAAAGACTTTTTTTTTTAAAGGCAAGGCAGGTCTAGAACACATCATTTCAGGACCCTGGACAGCACTACAGGTATTGGCTTGGGGGTTCCTGATTGGCATTCAGAACCATGTCCCAAGGGTGCTTTTTTCAGGAGGCAACTGGGCTTTCTTGTTTTCTTTTCTTTCTTTGAACATGTTTCATTTCTCATTCAAGAAGCTTCTTCAGCTCCGACAGGATAGTGGGGAATGGAAGGATTTATATTCCTTGCAGGCAGCTGGTCATTTGCATCCTTTTAGAGGGTTGTCGAAGCACCAGCTCAAGGTTTACTCAGCCTTCCATCCTCCTGAGATCAGTAAAATGAGGATCCAGACTGTTGGGGGGGGGCAATATGCTGGCTCTGTCCTTCCTTCCTTCCTTCCTTCCTTCCTTCCTTCCTTCCTTCCTTCCTTCCTTTCCTTCCTTCCTTCCTCTCTCCTTCCCTCCCTCCCTTTCTTCCTTCCTTGTCATGGTGGCACAGTAGTTGCCAGTAGTTCAATTCTCACTAGCTCAAGGTTGACTCAGCCTTCCATCCTTCCCAGGTCAGTAAAATGAGGACCCAGATTGTTGGGGCAATAGGCTGACTCTGTAAACCAGAGAGGGCTGCAAAGCACTGTGATGAAGCGGTACATAAGTCAAAGTGCCATTTTATTTGGACAGGTACCATTGATGCTACTCCCTACTGCAGCGGACGAGGAAACTACAGCAATGATATTTGTGGTTGCATCTGCGAACAGGGATGGAAAGGACCAAATTGCTCTGAACCAGAATGCCCACAGAACTGCAACGAGAGAGGCCAGTGCATCAATGGCCAGTGTATTTGTGATTATGGTTACACCGGCTATGATTGTGGAGAGCTGGCCTGTCCTGGGGACTGCAACGATCAAGGCAAATGTGTGGATGGGAAATGTGTGTGCTTCGATGGTTACGCTGGGGATGACTGCAGCTTTGAGGTCTGCTTGGTGCCCTGCAGTGAGTATGGCAATTGTGTGAATGGACAATGCATCTGCATGGAAGGTTTCACTGGAGTGGACTGCAGCAAGTCCCTTTGCCTTAACAACTGCAATAATCGGGGGCGCTGTGTGGAAGAGGAGTGTGTGTGTGATGAAGGATACACAGGTGAGGACTGCAGTGAGCTCATTTGCCCCAACGATTGCTATGACCGGGGTCGTTGCATCAACGGCACCTGCTACTGTGAAACTGGATTCACTGGTGAGGACTGTGGAGACCTGGCCTGTCCAAATGATTGTCATCACAATGGTCGCTGTGAGAATGGGGTGTGCGTGTGCGATGAAGGCTTCTTGGGGCCAGACTGTGGGGAGGTGAGGTGTCTCAATGACTGCCACAACCAGGGCCAGTGTGTGAATGGCCAGTGTGTGTGTGATGAAGCCTTCATGGGGGAGGATTGTCGTGAACTAAGATGCCCCAAGGATTGCAACAACCATGGCCAGTGTGTTGGTGGGAAATGTCAGTGTGATGAGGATTACATGGGGGAGGATTGTGGGGATCTGAGATGCCTTCATGACTGCCACAATCGCGGCCAGTGCATCAAAGGGCAGTGTGTATGCGATGAAGGCTTTGTGGGGGAGGACTGCAGCCAGCGCAGGTGTCCCAACGATTGCCACAAGCGAGGGAAATGTGTGGATGGCCAGTGTGTATGTGAAGAAGCTTTCACTGGGCTTGATTGCAATGAACTGCGGTGCCCCAATGACTGCAATGACCACGGACGCTGCGTTGATGGGCAATGCATATGTGATGAAGGGTACACTGCTGAAGACTGCTCAGAACTGACCTGTCCCCAGGACTGCAACCGTCGTGGACGTTGTGTCAATGGTGTCTGTGAATGCAACGAAGGCTTCCTTGGGGAGGACTGTGGGGAGCTAGCTTGCATCAACAACTGCAACAACCAAGGCCATTGTCTGAATGGACAGTGTGTCTGTAATGAGGGCTTCACCAGTGTAGACTGTGGCCAACGGAAATGCCTTGATGACTGCAACAACAGAGGACAGTGCATTGATGGCGTGTGTCTATGTGATGAAGGATATGAAGGCCCTGCTTGTGCTGGACAGTCCTGCCCCAACAACTGCAATGATCTTGGTCGTTGTGTAGCCGGGCGATGTGTCTGTGAAGAAGGCTTCATAGGTGCTGACTGTTCAGATGGTAAGTTCTACCAAATCACAGAAAGGACACATGGAGAATCTAGAGGCGAATCCCTTGGGCAGTTCCTATAATCTTCATCCAACACATTCATACCATCTTGAGAATAATGGCACTCATAGACAAATACATCACCTTGGGGATAAGAGGGCTGATAACTCTACATTTATAGCTCCAATTGGTAGATTCCAAAATATTTTCCTGGGTCTGTAGGTCAGTCTTTCATAAGTTGGGTTTTGGTTCTACAAAGACAAGTTCCTTTGCTTCTTGGACTTCTTGGATGACTTTTTCTTCTTCTTCTTTAAATCTTCATGACAGTATCTCCTCCAAAGAATTTGATGGTGACCGAAGTGACAGATAAAACCATTAACTTGGAATGGGCAAATGAAAATGTTGTCAATGAATATCTCATCAGCTACATTCCGACCAGCATTGATGGCTTAGAATTTCAGTTCCGGGTACCTGGAAACAAAACATCAGCCACCATCCGGGAGCTGGAACCTGGTGTGGAATATTTCATCCGTGTTTTTGCCATCCTAAGGAACAAAAAAAGCATCCCAATTAATGCCCGAATTGCTACTTGTAAGTACTTTAAAGGCCAAGTGAGTAATCTATGCTGTTAAATTAGGTATAATTATGGAAAACCATGCTACATTAGTTAGCCTGTGAGTTTTGTGTTGATTGAAGTAACTGGTGATAGAAGACATTGAGCAGCTCAAAAATTGACATCCAACACAAGCTAGGCTTAAACTATCTCCAGATTTGGGGAGTGGTTCATAATGTCATCTTCACCCTATTTAATGTAACCATGATTTACAAAATGACCACAATTATAACAGAATAACAGAATTGGAAGAGACTTGGAGGTCTTCTAGTCAAACACCCTGCTCAAGCAGTTGACCTCATACCGTTTCAGATAAATGGTTGTCCACTCTCTTCTTAAAGACTTCCAAGTGCTTCTGAAGGCAAGACGTTTCACGGGTTAATTGTTTTCACTGTCAGAAAATTCCTCCTCGGTTCTAGGTTGCTTCTCTCCTTGATCAGGTTCCATCCATTGCTTCTTGTTCTACCTTCTGGTACTTTGGAGAATACGCTGAACCCCACTTCTTTGTGGTAGCTCCTCAAATATTGGAAGACTGCTCTCGTGTCATCCCCACTCCTTCTTTTCATTAAATTAGACATACGAAAGGGTGAAGATATTTAAAAAAAATCATTTGGATCATTGCGGAAATAGTCACCTTTCCTTCTGCTTCTGGTTTTCAGACTTGCCTGCCCCCGATGGCTTGAAGTTCAAATCTGTTAAAGAGACTTCCGTGGAGGTTGAATGGGATGCCTTTAATTTCCCTTTCCATGGGTGGGAGATTATCTTTAGAAGCATGGTAAGAAGGATTCTGCCTTGGGATATCCCGCTTTCCTTTTCTGGCTACCTTCCTATTTTCTCATTTCGATGCTTTGCGTTGCAGAAAGAGGAAGAGAATGGGGCCATTCGAAGCAGCCTGAAGAGCCCTCAAACAACCTACCTACAACAAGGTCTTGCCCCAGGACAACAGTACAATGTATCTCTGGTTGTCGTGAAGAATCAGACCAGAGGACCTGCTGTGTCGAGAATCGTGACCACAAGTAAGTAGCTGTTGTGGTCAGCAGTGTGTTTTGAAAAAAAATTTCCTACTGGTTCGGAGGTTGCTTCGCACGCGCCATGAGCAGTGATCAAACTCCGCCCTCTGAATCGAGGCTTGTGAGCTGTGCAGGCGCGCCTGTCGTGCACACATGCCAAACGTGTGAATGGCATGTGTGCAGGGCTCAGGGACAGCCCTTTCCTGGTGAGCTGTGCTGTTTTGTTAGCTCAGCTGAGGTACGGCAATCCACTCGGCTTTGTGAATCAGCTGAGCTAATAAACAGCAGAATGTAAGAGAGGTGAGAGGTAAGTGCAGGGGCAGGTGGGTGAGGCCAGTCAAAATTTTCTCTGCTGGTCAGCCAAGACCAGTCAGAACCAGCTGAATAACACCACTGATTGTGGAACGTCAACTAAGGTAGTGAGAGAAAGCCCATAGCTTCTGTTGTGGTTCACCGGCAGCTTGTGCAGACGGCAGCAGAATTGGACAATGGGGTAAGAACAGGGACCAGTCCGGGAGTCTGGGGAGAACTCAGACAAAGGTCCTGGATTTGATACAGAGGCCAGGACCATCTGAGAGTTGTGTGCTGATTCTGGAGCCTCCAGAATCTGGCAGCAGCGAGGAAGAGGAACAAGGGGATCTTGTTCCCAGCGTGCATGTGCACAGAGCTGTTAGAAGGCAAGAGCAGCTGAAACAAAAGGGGTGATTCAGGAGTAGGGCTTGTGGGTAATTGCCCCTCCCATAAGGTATAAAGGAAGTGCAAAGGTAGAGAAACCTTTGCAGGAAGCAAAGTCATGAGTTGAAGAGTTTGGGAACTCCTGATATAAAGGAAAATTTACTCCAGGTGAAAATTCATGGATTTTCTTTCAACGAAATCTTGTTCCACTGCACAACCCTTTTCCAATTCTTTTTTTTTTTTTAATAATGGGATTGTTCTGTATTCGGGTTCGTCATATCTTTGCCTTGCCTTGTTTTTGTTTTTTTTCCTCCCAAGAACTGGATGCCCCCAGCCAGATTGAAGCAAAGGATGTTACCGACACTACCGCCCTCATAACATGGTTCAGGCCCTTAGCTGAGATAGACGGACTTGAGTTGACTTATGGGCCCAAGGATACCCCAGGAGACCGCACTTCCATTGACCTCTCCGAAGACGAAAGCCAGTATTCCATTGGAAATCTCAAGCCACACACGGAATATGAGGTGATCCTCGTGTCTCGGCGTGGACTCATGGCGAGTGACCCCATCACTGAAAATTTTGTCACAGGTATGAACTGGGTTGGGTTGGGGGGGTGGTTGGCTTTGTTTTTTAGTATCTTTCTAATGTGCACCAAGACAAATTCCTTGTACGTCCAATCACACTTGGCCAATAAAGAATTCTATTCTATTCTATTCTATTCTATTCCAATTTCTATTCTATTCTATTCTATTCTATTCTATTCTATTCATGTGTTCCCTAGCTTTCAGACTTTGAAGAACCATCTTGGCGATTTATGAAGCTGACTATTAAAAATCTGGAAACCTGACCCATTGAGCTCAGAGCTAAAGAAGCTTCTTGGATAAGAAGCGAAACATCTTCAAAGAAAAACCAGAAAGTCCAGTTGCCTCTTGAAGAAGCACCTTTGGGACAACCATGACCTGGATAACTAAGAATCTCCATAGACATTTTCTGACACATTGAGATTCATTCTAAGTCATGTCTCCCCTGGCCCTTCTCTTCGCTAGACTAGCCACGCTGAGTACTTGCAATTGTTCATTGTATCTTTCAGCCTCTAATTCCCTCATCCTCCTGGTTGCTCTTCTATGCACTCTTTCTAGAGTCCCAACATCTTTTTACAGTGTGGTGACCAAAACTGGATGCAGTATTCTAGGTGTCTTACTAAGGCTTTATAGAGTGGCATTAGTATCTCACATGATCTTCATTGAATCCCTCTGTTAATGTAATTTAGGATTGCATTGGCTTTTTTAGCTGCTGCTGCACACTGCTGGCTCATATTTGGTTGGTTATCCCCTAAGACTCCAAGATCCCTCTCACATCCAGATAATGTTCAGAAGAAGCTGAGGCAGAGTGCTCTCTGATCCATTGAATTATAAGAAGCATAATCAGACTTGCAAGATTCTGTCATCCTAGCCAACTTCAAGAAAAGTAACTTTAACTTTCCTGTGGAGTTTATTTCATGGTTTGGGGCTGACACATACTCATCTGTGTTCCTGATGTTTAACGGAGAATGTTAGATTTCCTTCTCTCTCTTTCTTCCCAGATCTGGATGCTCCCCAAAATCTGAGGCACGTTTCTCAGACGGACCGCACTATCACGCTGGAGTGGGAAAACAGTCGAGCCATGCCAGATGTCTACAGGATCAAATACGCCCCTCTCTCTGGTGGAGACCACGCTGAGGTCACGGTGCCCCGAAGCAATCAGGCCACCTCCAAAGTTACACTCTCTGGTAGGACTTCAGGATGTCCCTGAGGCTATCGCTCAATAGATGTCAACCTAAATTCATTCATGATTTAGAGCTGTGGTCACCCACTGGTGGCCTGTGGACCACTGGTGGTTTGCGAGAAATGTTTGTTGGTCCACAGAAAAAATTATTTGCATTTTTTATATTGCACTAAATTGTCCTCAAACTACACATACCATGGTCATTAGGCAGATCATATTAGTGGTCTGCAGGATTTAAAATTCTGAATCTAGTGGTCCCTGAGGTCCGAAAGGTTGGTGACCTCTGATTTTGAAGGCAGGCAATTTCATCACACGGTAGAATGTTCCTTGACCAACCGGTCCACACAACGAGATCAAAAGGAATGTATCCCTTTCTTTTGGCGACAAGCATTCATTGACCATCTACAGGTGGTCCTCAATTTATGACAGTTCATTTATTTGACCTTTCAAAATTACAATGGCATTAAAAAAGGGGGACTTATGGCCATTTTTCCTGCTAATGACCGTTGCAGTCTTCCCAAGGTCACCTGATCAAAATTCAGACGCTTGGCAACTGACTCATATTTGTGACGATTGCAGTATCCTAAGGTTACAGGATCAAGTCAATAGGGAAGCCAGGTTCACTTAATGACCGTGTGATGAATATTCTGTCTTATGAAAGACAGATAGAATAACTCCACAAATTCTTCCATACAAAGTTTCTTTTATTGGATTATATTAGGTATCCTCAAGGGGACTCACAGTTATGTCGAGATGCATCTGACATCCAATTCTTTGCATAGTTGAAATCGAAGTGTAAATGATATTAATCTTTCTATCCCAAAGTCGCAGAGGCAGAGGGTAGAGCTGCCACCATGAGGCTGTGTTCAGGCAAGAGTGAGGGAGCCTCCCCCAACCCAACAAGGGTCAATTTAGTGATCAATCAGGATTACAGATATGGCCACATGACATGGACTACATTTCCCAGGATTCCTTAACTACATTTACCATGATGCATTCCCTTAAGGGGACAGCTCACAACTCCTAACTATCCCAAATCCCATTAACTCTAAACTGTCTGGACAGCACAATGAACAACAGCTGCAGTGATCTTAGCGACTAGGGCACCACAGATTGTCAAATGTGGCAAAATTCACTTAGAAAATGTTTCCCTTAGCAACGAAAAATGTCGAGCTCAATTGCGATCATAAGTAGAGGATAACCTGTGTAATATAGGGTCTTCTCCATTTTGGGGGAATGATTTCCCAAGTCTATATTCATTTATTGGATTCTTTTTGTTCCTTTTGATTGTTTTAAATGTGGTTTCTATATTCTGTAAGCCACCTCGAGTCGCCATGGGCGGCAATATAAATTCAATAAACATAAATAATGACATTTTTGCTACTGGAACTCGCTTAATTGATAATACTTTGGGGAAGGAAAAAAAACTGTTTATTAGAAGCAATATAAATAATTACCTATTCTTTTAAGGCCTGAGACCGGGAACAGAATACGGCATTGGAGTAACTTCAGTGAAAGAGGACAAAGAAAGTTTTCCTTCCACCATCAATGCTGGAACCGGTAAGAAATATTCATTTATTAGGTGGAGGAGAAGAAAGAAAACTTCTATGAAGGATCTGGAGGCTTAGGACAATTTATTGAACCCTAGTTTAGCAAGATAAAGTAGACTTTGCCTGGACTACTGTAACCAGCTTTAGGCACCAAAAGGAATATTGGACTGTGATACTGGGTCAAAAACTGGTTAAAAGGATGGCTTGGGGTGATGTCATTAAGCACGGCACTGATGGTGTTACCTAGTTGGGTATTGAATTGTCTGCAAGAAAACTTACCAAGCTCAGAGTACACCAAGGACCCACATTCCTCCTGCTGCTGCTGTTCCTCCACCTTCTCTTCCTCCTCCTCCTCTTCTCCTCCTCTTCCTCCTCCCCCCAAACCCAATTCCCTTCTAGCACTCATGATGTTACCTAGTTGGGTCATGAAACATCTGCAAGAAAACCACGAAGCTCGGAGAACACCAAGGACCTCTCAGTTCAACCCTGAGCTACAAATATTATTTTGTTTGATAGCACAGCTTTCTTTTCCTTAGCCAGCCCAGGTATAAATTCTAAAAACCTGGACAAGAGATCTCTAAGCTTCAACTTCCCAGTACTCCCATTAATAAGCTGGAGAACTTGTTCTCCAGATTTTCAATTCAAGAGTAGCTCTTTGTAGTTTTATCTGCCGCATAGAATGGGAAATATTGATGGCTGATACTCATTCCCAAGGGGACACGGTGGCTCAGTGGCTAAGACGCTGAGCTTGTCGGTCAGAAAGGTCATCAGTTCAGCGGTTCGAATCCCTAGCACTGCATAACAGAGGGAGCTCCGTTACTTGTCCCAGCTTCTGCCAACCTAGTAGTTTGAAAGCATTTTAAAAAATGCAAGTAGAAAAATAGGGACCCCTTTGGCAGGAAGGGAACGGCATTCCATGTGCCTTCGAAGGCATTTAGTCATGCTGGCCTCATGACCACGGAGACGTCTTCCGACAGCGCTGGCTCTTTGGCTTTGTAAAGGAGATGAGCACCACCTCCTAGAGCCAGAAACACCTAGCATGTATGTGCGAGGGGAACCTTTACTTTACTCATCCACAGCTCTAAGCAAGAAAGGTAGCATGCACCATGGAGTTCTTTCAGGAAGGCCTGAAGATAATTAAATGCACATTTATCCTCTTTCTCTGTTCTGCTTAACGTCTGTTCTCAAGATTTGGCAGAAGCAGCAAAAACCATTTTTAATCCACAGCTGCGTGGGCAAATGAATGATATTTCCATGCTTTTCATTAAGGTTACCCAAACCCTCCTCCTCCCATTTTTTCCCCCTACTTTGACATAATTCACAAAACTGGCCCAGAAGCTCCCATTAAGCCCTAAAGAGGCTTTTTTCTAATTGGTCAAAAAATAATTATAGGGGGAAATGCATTGGATGCCTCAAAAAAGTGAGCCAAACCACCAAAAATTGGTGAAAAGACAGAAAGAAAGAGATGGATCTTAGTAGAGTTGTGTTCCCGAGCCAGAGTTAAGCCTGAACATGCAGTTTAGACCAAAAATAAAGGCTTAAATCAGCTTTTTTTCCCCCTTAATTCAGAGTAGGAAAGGGAAAAGAGACAACTGGGACATGAACATGTCCTTCCCACATAAAGGCAGCTTCTAAGAGTCATTTGGACGGAGCTAAATGTCACTGGTCCAGTTGTGGCTAACCATGGAGTGTCCAAGAGCCATTTTGAGCTCATGGACTTTCATTTCCTCACCACTGTCTCTTGCGTAAGAGAACATGTTCCATATGGTGCACATAATGGGGGAACTCGCCGTGCGTTTCCTGATGGATTTATTTTCCTGGGCAGCCTCTGTCCGTCTCAACTGTTCCATGTGTCCAACTCTTGGAGTTTTTATAGGCCAGTGTTCTCTAGGCCAGGGGTCACCAACCTTTTGGACCTCAGAGACCACCAAACTCATAATTTTAAATCCTGCGGACCACTACTACAAATCCAGCACACGGCTTGCTGAAGCGCCTGGACTCCCGCTGACGGGATGGGGTCCTTCAGGCACTTAGCTTGGCTGCCTGTTTCTGCAACCTTAAATACTCAAAAAGTCACGTGGACCCATTTCCCACGGAAAACAAAAACACCGGGATCTCTCATCTCTCTTTCCCTCCCTCCCTCTCTTTCTCCCTCTCTCTCCCCAGGGGTGGGCAGGAGGGGAAAGGAACTTCTGAACTGGTGCTTGGTGGGGAGAATCTGATATCCAGAGGCCAACGAGCCATGTTCAGAAGACCAGATGGCTGGCAGGGAGGTGGGGCAACAGGGGTGATACCGGTGGCAGATGGACTCCTATGCATGGGAGATCGTGGCATCGGAACCCTTCCTGGGTGTTTCCTGGCCTGTGAGGGGGTGAGGGTGACCACTGCTTTAAAATACTGTGAAGTGGTGTATGCATCTAAATGCTATTGCTATTACTATTATAACTTCACACGGTCACTAAACTAATTTTGGGTGAGTTGAGGATTGCCTGTTTATTCAATAATTTAGGTCAGCGACACAGTTCGAAGGCGTCTCGATTCTTCTTCGATCAGCCATTCTCAGTATCCAACTCTTGCACCCATGATTATAAAGAAGACTATAGGCTATATATTCCATTTCAGGAACCTAATAGTAAAATAAAACACTTTCTTCTCAACGCAGATCTAGATAGTCCCAAGGACCTGGAGGTCATTGACCCTACTGAAACTGCTTTTACTTTACGTTGGAAGAGACCTCTGGCCAAAATTGACCGTTACCGCCTTACTTACAACACCTCTCTGGGGAAGAAGAATGAAATTGAGATTCCACCTGATAGCACATCCTATATCCTAAGGTCACTAGATTCTGGGACGGAATACACGATCATCCTCGTGGCTGAAAAAGGCAGGCTCAAGAGTAAGCCTTCAACTGTCACTGGTTCTACAGGTAGGTGAGATTCTTGGTCCTCACTTATGTCCACTGGTAGATCTGTTAATCACCTACTTTCCTCTGGTGCCACTGTGAGGAAGTTGGTCTTCTCTAGATGCATTGAGAAGTAGGAGATGCCTTCTCAAGTTTGATCTGTGGAGATTCTCAATCATCCAGGTCATGGTTGTCCCAAAGGTGCTTTCCCAAAGGTAGTAAGTAGACTTTCTTTTGGTTCTTCTCAATTCTGGTTCCTCAACTTTGACGTCCTCCAGATGGGTAAGCATCTATCTTCCAAATTTCTCCTTGCAAAGAATTCCAGCAACTGAAATTCCAAACATCTGGCTGGGAAAACCCTATTGAAAAAGATTAACGGTTCCACTGGTTAATTGTCCTCCCTATTGGGAAGTTTCTTCTCAATTCCAGGTTGCTTCTCTCCTTGATCAGATTCCATCCAGTCTTTCTTGTCTGAGTTCTACAAAGCACCAAGAAGGAAATGTTTGTTTTAATGACTTTCCCAGACCCAAATCCAAAACTGTATATTCCATTAAAAAAAAAAAAACAGATGAAAGAAAGATTTGGATGCATGCACGAGGTTTATAGCCAAGGGGAAGGGTTTGGAAGAGAAAACGTGCAAGCCTTTATAACCACACACCTAGAGTGTTGTCAGAGGGGCATGCGTGTCCCCTTATTTTCCATCGCCTTTTCACCCCAGATGCATCCTTTTTAGGTGAAGAACATCCAGACTAATTTTTCTTAATGGGCATAGACTTTTTAAAAGCTTGCTTGCTTTCCAGATGGAAAAGCAGAAGAGAGATGTGTCAAAAATCATTCTAATTTTTACAGAAGGATCCATTTCTGCAAACTTTGAAGGCCAACAAGAACTGACTTCTCTTTCCTTTTCATGATCTAGCTAAATCTCATCTCAATCTACTTTCTCTTTTCTTCTTCTTCTTCTTCTTCTTCTTCTTCTTCTTCTTCTTCTTCTT